ATCTAACATTAGCTACAATATCCCTAGTACCATGACCCCTTCTAAACCCAGCCTGGACTTCTGGCACTTCTCTGCTGATGTGTTGTTCCAGTCGTTTTTGGATAATCTTCAGTAGAATTTTGCTTGCATGTGAAATCAATGAGATTGTTCTATAGTTTCCACACTCTTGGGTCACCCTTCTTTGGGATGGGAACAAATACAGATCTCTTCCAGTCAGTTGGCCAGGTTGTTGTTCTCCAGATTTCTTGGCACAACTTAGTGAGCGCGTCCAGGGCAGCATCTGTTAGCTGAAATATGTCAATTGGTATACCATCTATTCCTGGGGCCTTATTTATTGCTATTTCCTTCAAAGCAGCTTGAACTTCTTCCCTTCATCACCATAGGCTCTTGCTCATGTGTTGTTTCATGAAATTCTTCTGTGTCTGCCAGTTCCTTTTGATACAGTGACTCAGTATATTCTTTCCATCTTCTTTTAATACTTCCTGGATCACTTAATATTCTGCCTAAGGCATAATTGAGGGAAGTAAACATTGAATTAGAGAAAACTACTTGCCACTACAATCCACAAGATTATTTTTATATTAAATGCATTTGATTCCTACTTTCAACTTGTGTTTTCAAGTTGGAAATCTTGTCATTTGGGACTGTGTCTAGTGTTCCTTGAATTGTATATAACATAAAGCCCCCTACACAAGATTTCATTACACTAGCTCTAGAGGGTTGCTGTTTTAAGAAGTTACTGTCAAGTCAATTCTGCTGTGTGAAGGCCCTGTGTGTGTGCACAGGAGAATTTCTTCTAAAGGCAACTAGATTATGTACTTTTTTTCTGATACCAGACTTTAAATCTTTTGTTAGTCTCTCAGTAGGAGGACACTGTATGTTGAACATTGGCATATTCCTTCATCTGTTAATAGCAGGTCTGTATATTTAACAGCTTGAAAGTGTACGAAGTAGTTACTAATGACAAAAATGTTAATTTTGTCTTGACCACTAATATTTTTGAGTCCTTTTATTTCCACTAAGGGTTTGATACAACTACATTTTAGTTATGGTATCATTCATTTTATGAAGATTTTCAAGTAGGGGCTAAACCAGATTTGACATTTCCTCAGATTTATTGTTGAGGCAGAACTGGCATTTACGTGCTTTCCCTGTTGGTGACAGACAATGAGACAACAAATAGAGGATATACGTTATTTTATTATTGTTGTTGTTACATGCCGTTGAGTCAGCTCAACTCATAGCGACCCTGTGTACAATAGCCCTAAACCCTGCCTGTCTGTTACTGAACGCAAGGGGTTCTTTCCGTAGACAGTCGCCAGTAAGACAAACGGAATGCAATATCCATAAACACACTTTATTACAGATCTGTGGAGGACAGTGGGTCCCTGCCTCAAAGACTGCCTCCCAGTCTGGGAGTGGTCATGGCCTTATATATAGTAGGGTGAAACTCCAGCTCATTTAACAATGCACTTTTGTTAGTAAAAAAGGTGATTTCTACATCCGAAAAGGACAGTTCCTATCTATGTATCAGTAATTCAGGAAGGCCCCAGTTCTCCTCCTGGTAAACAGGTGGCTTAAGACACAGTTTACATATGACTTGGAGAACCAGCTTCACCAGCATCTAGGATTGATGCACTTGCTTTTCTGGTAAACAAACATATCAAACTACTCTACATGACTAAAGACAGGAGACAGGCTAAGCAACTAGTTTTGCAGGCTGAAGAAAAAGAACCATAGTTTTATAACTAATACCTATAGAGAGAATTTTGAACTTATTAATACCACCCTATCATGTCCTGTGCCAATCTAATTGTCTCTGGCACACCCACCCATTACCCCAGTCACTGAATCAATCCATCTCATCAAGGGTCTTCCTCTCCTGTGCTGTCCCTCCATCCTCCCAAGCGTGACGTCCCTCTCCAAAGACTAGTCCTTCCTTGCAACTTGTCCAAAGTATGTTAGACAAAGCTTCAGAATCCTTGCCTCCAAGGAGCAGCCTTGTTTAA